TGTACACATGAATTAATTACTAAAATAAATACCTGGCAAGATACGCCAAAGTTAAAAAAAAAAAAAAAAAAAAAAAATCAAAATAATAAAAATTTAGTATTATTATCAAATTTGCTTGTAGCAAGACAATTTTAACAAGAATAACAGCTTTTTATACAACAACTATAAATACAAATCTAAATAAATAAATAGTATTACAAAAAACTATACAGCAGAGACACGAAAATTATGTGATTTAATGTGATTTGATGCGATTTAGTTTACTGAGAGCTATCTGTTACACAAAAATTGATATGAAATAATTAGTAATGCCATGAATGTACTTAAATAAATCACATAATTTTCGTGTCTCTGCTATACAGTAAATTTAAATAAATATGTACAATATTATAAAAATATCTTAATTACTAGGCTAAAAAAAAAAATTAAAATTAGACTAACTATAAATAAATAAATAAAATTTAAAAGATTTGTATATAAAATTACTGTATTAGTAGTGTTTAGTATAGTATCATTAATTGTAATTATTCAAATATCAAAATAATTACAAATTAACCAAAGCTAAATATATAGTATATATTGGTTAAGCTACGTATAATTATTTGATATTTGATTTAATTATAAATATTAAATTTTTTTAACAAAGTTTAGTATAATTATATAAAAATTGCAACTACTGTATATAATTATTATTCACTAGACTATAATCCCATGCTCTAGTTAATGATTATATATATACTGTATATGTGTTATATAAAAGTAAAATTTCAAAATTTAATTAGGGTTGTATTTAAATTTATCCCAACAGATTGCCAATTAATAGATTAATAATTGGTGCGCACTGTCTTTCTAAATAACGCGAGGAGAAATTATTCGTAATGTAAAGTAATTGCATACACATACAAATAATAAACTAAAAGGTGCACTAATTCCATAATTTATAGACTTTATTTCAAATATAATTCTCTATTCGCGTGTGATCGAACATTTAATCGAAACCTTAACCATTGTTGCACGATCTAACATCTTGTAACACTCAAAATAATCGACGAGTCACAATGAAGTGGCGGCCGAGCAGCCAAATCAACAAATGATTAGACTACAATCTTCTGTCATGGGCGATTACTATATGTTTAATAGATACAACGTTGCACCGAACTTATATTTTCGCCATCAAAGTAATTCAGGTTAAAAGAATGGCACAAAAGAATGGCACTTTTAAAAAGTGAAAGAGAATAGCAGGTGATTAAGAGGGTACAAAAAAGGCTTATACTATCACAATGATTCCATTATTTGTCGTTTATGAAGATAATGTCTTGTCTTTTCTCATTATACCCTTTTTACTTTCGAGCCATATGTCACATGATCATTTTTCTTGTTTGTTGCAAATAAATACATTTAAATCGTTGCTTTTACTATTAACGCCCCGAACATCTCTTTTTTTTTTTTTTTTTTTTTTAAAGAACATTTTTCAATTTTAATTATCCTCCTTACCAGTAATTCTTACTCAATTTAACCTCTCCCACCTCCCTTTAGAGTCTAATTTTCACTCCTAACCGTAATTTTAAAACCATAAACCATACTTCTAATATTTTCCTTTCCGCTCGACAAACTTTTCGTATATAAATTTTAAATTTGCTAACATCGGCCGCGAAGCCTAGAAAATAACTTGTTTTTGGCTTTTTTTTATCATTAGTCCATTGCATCTGAAGAATTTTTTTTTTTTTTTTTTTTCTAAATTGCATTTTTTTTTTTTTTTTTTTTTTTTTTTGGCTTAACTTTTTATTTCCGCCCCCCTTTTTATCGGCTCATTCGTACATACGTACGTACACACTAAAACCTTATAAAGTAATATTATATCTGCAACAATAGTAGACATTAGTTGAGCTTCACTTGATTTTTGTGCTCCACAAAAAAAAATTTCTTTATATATATATATATAATAAAAAAAAAATTTTTTTAAATAAAGAAAAAAAAAACTTCGCCACCCGAACCATCACCAGCATATCAACCTTTTCCGTAGGACCAGCTTCATTTTTTTTTTATTCACAACCTCTCTCTACAGTTGTAACCACAATGCCAGTATTCTCTAACCCCGTAATTTCTTCAACAACGAGCCCCATCAACGGTAACATTAACGGTTTGCCGGACAAATGTATGTGCGTCGATGGAGTTTGTCTCGATCCATCTCATAAGCACTACGCTGAACAGCAAAAGAAATATCAAGAAAATTTTAAACAACAACAACTATTACAAAAAAGAAAACGTCGTCTTTCTCTTACAACAGAGATCTCAACTGTGAGGTTAATGCCGACTACTACATGTTCACTATATTCAGGCTCAAAATTTAGAGGTGAACAAAGGAGTGGAAGAAGTAGCTACGATGTAGCTGTTAACATTCAGGTAAGCTCTAGAAAACAAAATGTAAGATGAATAGGTTGATGTAAAAAAATAGATCAGAATTGATTAGAAAAGATGAATAGATATAAAGGAGGTTGGAGCTGATACGACATTAATGTGTCTATATTGATATTAATATGATTGAGGAATGGGTTGTTTGTTATGAAATGCTAAAATGTTTTATTTGCGTTGAATCGCAATGGATTTTTGCATTTGCATATTATAGTCCTATCAATGTTCATACGACACCTATTCTCATCTGTAAAAGATTGTACAGCTAGCTAATCTTTCTTTGGTCATCTCAGCACGTTGATCTTTCAGAGTCATTCTTGTGTGGCTACCTTCACATTAAAGGCCTTACGGAAGACTATCCTGAATTGACCACTTTCTTTGAGGCAGAAATTATTGGACGCAAGTATTCTTTTCTAACTAAGAAATGGGACGCTGATGACAAAGTCGACGTCCAACACTGGGTATAATTTATTATCATTTTGTATTTGTAAACATACATACATATATATATATATATTTATTTATTTATTTAATGATATTTATTTACAAATTCAACAGATTCGTTTCCCTGCATTCCGTCCTCTCCAAAAGCATATGAAGAAGGATGGATTTGTTTATGATTTCCACAATAAGGATTATATCTTCATGAGATGGAAGGAGCACTTTCTTGTTCCTGATCACCGAGTTAAGACCATTAATGGTGCTAGTTTCGCTGGATTCTATTACATTTGCTATCAGTTGAGCACAGGCATTATTACTGGATTTTATTTCCATAAGAGCTCAGAACGGTAAGAGACAATTTTATTTTGATCAATTTTATGTGTAGGAAGATATATTACTATTACGTTTAAAAAGGAGGGATCCGCAGTTCAAAAGATGTATGCTTCTTTTTTTCTAATGGTTTATACTTTAAATATATTTCATAGGTTTCAGGAACTGAAGCTGCATCATTGTGCGGACAACTCCTTCCCATCTTTTGAATTTCGATAAGGAAAACCTCCTAATTCAAACACACATTAGTTCCACATCTTACAAGGTAGAAAACAGGAAAAAGAATAAAAGATTATATTCACTTGTGATTTTATTTGATCTCAAACAATTTCCTTTTTCTTGCATTCGCTTCAACCATAATGAAAAAATGTTTATACGAACATATATATGGATTTTTATTTTGCTATAAACCTAAGGTTTTAGGGGGTTTATTATTTCTTTTAGACTTAAATCTGCAAACAATCGGTATTTCAATTACCAAAATATTTAGATTATTTTTCTTATCATAAGATTTTATTTCAATTCTTTTTAAATTAGATAACAACACATATTACCTTTATATGCCACATTTTACATCGTTTCGTTTAATACCCTCTTCCTTCAGCAAAATATATTATAAATAAACAACTTTCCACATTCACACAATTTGCCCAAGATTAAATACTTATTGTACAAATTATATTGTATTATTATATTTTTCTTTATTTCCCTATCTTCTGCACATATAATATGTATCATATTACACAAATCATTATTGTATTGTCCAATAATACAAATTAAGTTTGTGTGTTTATTATATTACACTTTACGTCTATGTTCTTCAAATTTTGTATTTACCTTTATATAACTTTCATTTTACATACATATATAGCTTTTTTCATGGGAAGGGGTTAACATAAAAAAAAAACATTATACTTTCTTTTGTTTTTATCACATTATCATTTCGGAATCTCATTTTCTGGATATAAAATTAAATCAATTTTTAGATGATCAGTTTTTTTCCCTTTTTTTTTTTTTTTTTTTTTTTTTTTTTTTGAAATAATGTGTTTCATCTTCCTAGATCATTATGGTTTCATATCTTTAAACTGTCCTTATAAGATAGGATGAATGAATAGGGAAAAATCAAAAATAAAAAGGGTATGAATTTTTAGGATCGGAAGAGTGAGATTGTGATTTATTGTACATCCTTTTTTTTTTTTTGGTTGGCTTATTTATATATTTATTCACATTGACAAATCTTATTCTTTCTGGTTTCTTTCTCATCCAGGCCAAAATTCTCTTCTATCATTTTCTTTATCATTTTCTTATCATTTTTCATTTTACCGCACGTAAAAAAAAAAGAAAAAAAAGTACATGTTTCAAAGGTTCTCAGTTCTCAAAGGGTGTTTTTAGGAGTACATGTATAAACACCTTAGGTCTTACATCTTAGGTTTTTACAGATATAAAAAAAAAATAAAAAATAAAAAAAAATAAAAAGTTCGATTCTTCTAGTGACCTTACATAGTTCAGGTTCTATCCTAAATTTAGAATACAATGACTAAATCAGAGATTCAATTTTGACTAAATTTGGTACTTATTAATTGAGCACTATAAATGGACTAGTTCTCACTTCAGATGTTGCTATAAAAAGTGGATCTCACATTTGTTAATTCCTTTTTGCGGTTAATAAATAATTTACATCTAATTGTATCCTTCTTGGTACCCAATGATTAAACTCAAACCATTTTCCAGTAATTGGGTTAACTCCAATCCCTGTGATATCAGTTACGTGTCCCCATTTACTATCATCACTATTATCGTTATCTGGGATCCGGTCGATAATTTGTTGCAATTCATCAGGTTTTAAATAATTATTAAAATCGTGCGTCCCATTCGGTACTATTCCAAATACACGCTCGGCTAATAAAATAGTTAGTACATATGAAAGTGGCGTACGAGAAATTGTTGAAAGAAATAGGTGACCTCCCGGCTATATGTTACACAATCACAACCCTAATGTTAGATGAAATATCATAAAAAGAGGTTTATTTAAATATGCGAAGGATATGAAAAAAGTACCTTAACTAGTCCAGCACACGCTTTAAGAAACTCCACTGGATGATTTACATGCTCGATTATTTCCATCGCGCACACAATATCAAATGATTCTCCATTCTCTAATAATTTCTCTTGAGAAAGAAAAAAAAAAAGCATGAACTAAAATTGTAATGATAATTTGAAATTATGTTTAAAATAATACCTGCGGGTACACATTTATATTTAAGAGTTCCAGGCCCAGAATATAAACCTGGGTCTTTTCGAGCGTGTAATCTTGCTATATGAATGTTTTCCGGAGACGCGTCAGCTCCTAAAACCGATGCGCCTAATCTAACCAATGACTTCACAATTTTGATTGTATGCATATATTTGTTCAAATAATATGCACATAAATCAAATTTACTGAATTTACTGAATTTATTGTATGTCATACAAATATAAATATTACCGTACCTCAGATAAAACGCCACCACCACAACCAATATCTAAAATTCTCAAATTTTTAAACGGAATTCGGTCATCATAAGATGATGATGTCTCGTACCCGCCTTCTTGTACATTTTTTAATTTTTCTTCATTATTATGCTTTGATAATTGTTGACGAATATATGAAACCCTTAATGGATTCATACTATGTAACAATTTTACAGGACCGTTTGGAGACCACCATTCTTTCGCCAATTGATTAAATTTAAGTATCTCTGGTTCATTAATTGTCGAATATTGCGATGAGGAAGGATCATGTGCGGGTGACTCCGTTGATGGTGAGTTTTGATGAAAATTAAATAACGTGCTTTACAAACACAGATACTAACCATTAATTCAAGTTTCATGAAAAATCAAATTTATATCAATTTTTAAAAATATATATGAACCTACTAATATTTCGAATTTGCTTTGATGTATAAATTTTCGAAAAATCCGTAACTATGCCACGTTTTGTCTTTGAATAGAACCGAATGATAGTTCCGAAACTAGTTGAATGACCCATTCGAAAAATTAACTTCATCTAAAGATCGCGTGGCACAGTTATATGCTACATGCATATATCTAGATCATGTAATCATGTACCGCACGTGAATTTATGTCGTGCCTCATTACTGCATTGCAGCATCATCATGTATTATTAATAATAAATTAACGTATGTTAAAATTGTTTTTTTAAAAAAAAAAAAAAAAACCTCAGATATATTATTCTTTGAGAATCATTGGTTCTTTACACAAAGTTTAAGTAGTGGTTAAAAATAAAAATTTAAAAATCATTTTGATTTCTAAGCTAAACTGTATTATAATGTATGTAAATAACATACTGTACGTATAATTGGTTAAATTTAAAAATATACTGTAATTTTTTTTTTTTTTCGTTACGTAAAATACTTTTTTTTATAGATTTTTTTTTAATATAAAACAAGCTGTACGTATAACGATTTTTATTAGTAAACTTTAAAAAAAATATAATTTTAGGTAGAATCAAAATTTCTCTAACGTAAAACTCCTACGTACTCAAGTATCAGGTATATATATATGTTTTACATTAGTTAATAAATTAGTAGATTTGTTTCAATATAACAGATAACTTGTATTCATTAAACATTAGGCAAAATTTGATATTTGATAAGCCAAACAATAAGTAAAACTCAATCAAAATTTGAAAGCTATAATAAGTACTGATTTATAAAACGTAATGAGCTTGATATAATATGGACTTATTAATTAAACAATGAATAAAAGCTCGATAAATTAAATCATTTTAGCTAGGCGCGAAATAATTTCGTTATCGATAACATAATAAATTTAGAAAAACGTTGCTTCAAATGCGATCAGCTAACCATTTTTAACATCACGTAAAATCATATACTTTCGTATTAAATTTTTTAAGCAAAATTTTATTCATTTTTATTAATTAATATATTACAGTAATAATACAACAATACATAATAAATTTTATTTGTCGTTAAATCATTAAATATTATACAAAAAAAAAAAAAAAAAATAGAAAAAATATAGAGATACTTAGTTTCAGAGATTCAGAAAAAATCTCTTACTTGTCCCAACCACCACGAAGAGGTGTATCTCATTGGTTGGGAAGGCCCGAAAAAGCGTTTATCAGTACACGAAGGTTATTCTGGCTTTTTATCAAACTTCTTAGAAGCTTGTGTCGCCGTGCCAATAAACACTCTCGCAGTAACCCCAACACCATCTCCTCTAGAATCTCCCGACTAGAGGTAGGTTGTTCGTATAACATACGCTTTACCAATTCGCCAAACAACTTCCGCGTGTGAGCCAGGAATTGTCACGTCCAGCATTCACCGTGTACTCCGTATCCTCTCCATAAACCTTTTTGCTGTTAATGTCCAAAAAAAAAGGTACATAATGTCCAAGAAAGATGCGTAACCATTCCTCTTCCGGGAAATGGTAGATCTCGGACGGGGAGATACAAAAAGGTCGAGATACAATGCCTGCGAAAGAAGATAGCAAATCAGGACAAGAAAAAAAAAATCAACTAGCAATGGTATTTATATATACAGCAAATTACTGATCTTCAAAACAACTTCCACGTGACTTTAGGATCAAAACAATCATGTAATTATATTATTGGCTAATTTGGCGACTAGTAAATCACATGAATTTGTATTTCCCAAAATATTTTCAATTATACGAATTATTTATATGAAAATACATGTATTTATTGAATGCGAAGCAGACAATACCTAATATTACGCTGTATTTAACCAGTAAAAAATAAACTTGAAAGCCTGAATTGACATGAAAACAAAACGAAGCGGAACAAATTAAAACTTGTAATTTAAAGTTTGCGCCCTAGACATGTTAAAATATCGAACCTAATAATTTTGTCTACATCCGACTATATATGAGTAACGCAAGGGAAATGGTATTTAAATAATCAACCATAAACCAATGTCCCATTTTCACATATTACTAAAAAAAAAAACTAGATGTAACATTGACATAAATAGATGTATATCTCTATCAAATCTTGAAAAAAAAATTTTTTTTTTTATAAACATATATTAAAACTAATGTTTTCAGCAGGTTACTTTTGCTAAAACAACTTTATTTTTGCTTAACAAGCTGAATTTTGTTGGTCTGTGTTTTGCATTCCCGTACAATAAAGTTGGTAGGTAGGGTTTTTCGGATTTTAGGATTTTCAGAAAATAGAGAATTCTACTTATCTCCATATTGGCACAGTAATGATCAATATAATCACTACTATTAAAATTTAAAGCGAATAAAATTAAATCCTTACAATTAAATTATACAAAATATCATTTCGATATCGTATTTTATTCTTGCTTTGATGTATAATGAATTAAAAGTATCGATCATTTCATTTTAAACCTTAAATCTGGTTAAGTGAAATAATCACTGTCATAGGCGATCAGTTTTTCACAACAGTTATGTAAAATGGTCTCGATTTAGAAATAATTATCTGAACATTTGAATCGGTAGACCATGGGGAGCGACGAATCAGAGATCAATGGATTCGGCTATCATTGGCCACTGGCTTACCAACTGAGATCCAGGAATATGACTACGTATATTGATTGATAATTTTTAATATAATATATAATACCTGGTTCTTCATCACACAGTACCCACCTAAATTTGATTCTAAATCAACTTCATAATTTTCATAATTTAATATGTGCGAAAAACTTATTATCAATTTCTTGCATCGATATTAGTGGAATTACAGTAAAATAAAAATCAAATTATAGTTAGATGATTATTAATTATATAAAATTACCTATCAGATTTTGCTAATATTCGTATACTAATGACCAATCACAATTATTCCATCATCTTGCTTTACTTTTGTCAATTTAATCATTAATATAATAAACTACGTTGTAGATCTGCGAAGTATGTTCCAAAAGTGTATTTACGTCAATCGTTAGTAGTAAAAAATATTGACAATTTAGGAATTTTAGGTCATCCAAAAACAACTCTTTATTTTACCGTACAGTATTTGCTTATTATTATAAATTGTAATATAAAGTCAGTGGATTCAAATAGATCCAGATGATGTTATTAAATATGACATGAAAGTT